CAAATTTCTCACCAATAAGACAAAAGTTTTCACCAAGATGACCAATTTTTGCACCTAGATGACTGAACTTTGTACTAAGATGACCAAAGTTTGACACCAAGATAACCAAATTTCATACGAAATCACCGAATTTCGCACCAAAATGACCGAAACTTGTACCAAGATGACCAAAATTTGACACTATGATGACCGAATTGTGTACCAAGATGACCAAATTTCGTTCTAAATTGAACGAATTTCGGACCAAGGTGACCAAAATTTGATACCGAGATGATCGAACTGTGCATTAAGATGACCGAATTTTGTACCTAGATGACAAAAATTTGACATCAAAATTTCTTCGAAAATCTTCACAAAGGAACTGATTGCAATGACATTAAAAGAATTTGGGAATTTCTGTTGTAAAACATTAGTTTTACTCTCTCATTCGTGTACCTTCTGCAAGAACGTTCAAGAATCTTTATTTTCACATATCGAGTCACAGTTGTAAGTCCAAAAATTCAACAGCAATAAATGGGGTTGAAAAGTTGAATTTAATGTGTAATTTCTATACAATTGGGGTGGGATTTATTTTTTTTCATTTTCAGTTATTAAAGAAACACAAAAGAGGAGAAAAGAATTCACATTTGATACATTATTGCTTTGTAGCCTGAAGGGTGAATATTTTATGACGACTGATGATGCTGATGATGATTTTTTTTTGCAATTCTAATGTTGTCGAAATATTGTGAAAAGTTATGAGAGAATTATTCGGCTGAGGATGTATTTGACGTGTTTTGATGTTAAAAAGTAAGGCAATGAATATTTTTTATGATATTTTTGGGGGATATTTGTGAATTATTTATAGGTTTGTAGGTTATTTGTCAGATTTTTGGAAGTTTGCTGCCAGTTTTAATGTCGATTGTACAAAAAAGATAAAAATTTACTGAAATTATTGAGTTTTTAACTTAAAACGGAAATTTTTGAAAATTGTGCGCCAAATTCATGAAGAAACTTTACAGTGTCGCGAAAATGGCGCACACAGCAGTTTTTAAATTCAATCATTTTTAACTCAATATTTCAATTTTAGAGTGTGGCAAACATTAGCACCATGCGTCATATTTTGAGAAAACATTAATGTCTCTTGCAAAATATGGCACTTTAACATCAAAGTCAATTTTATTTAATACTTTGCCAATTCTCCAATGAAACACTTTAAAAATTTGCAATATAACACTCTTCATTAATCAATATGTTCCAATAAAGTCAATTTTTCACCTCCTTTCCCCTCCTTATCCTGACACCAACCCACATTTAAAATTCTCATACATCTCAAATTCAATTTTTTTTTTATTTTTTAAAATAAAACTCATGTTCTACTTAAAATTCAGCATATATGAAAAATTACGAATATATCGTGCATGTTTTTCAAATTACACTCACAGCATGATGTTACTGGATATGTAATATGCAAGAGGAGGTGAGATTAATTTGTTTGAAGGTCGAAGGGTGAGTAGGAAATAAATGACAAAGGAAGTCAAAGGAAATGTCAGTTCTAATGAAGATTGTAATTTAAAATGTAGAATAAGTGTGTGTTTTGTAGGTAAGGAAGTAAAAAGAGTTGGAAAATTGAAGAGGTTGGGCAACTTTAAAAGTTGTGCGTTATATTTGAGGGAGACATTAATGTGATTCTCTGGATATGACGCACATTAGTTTTTTTTAGGAAAGTCAAGCAGAGTTTTGAGTTTTGATTGTCAAAACCAGTGGAAAGGTGTTACGTGCGTCATATTTAAGTGAAAACAGTAATGTCTCCTTCCAAATCTAACGCATAAGAACAAAGGGAATATTTTTAACAGAAGTTTAAATACGCTTGCATTTAAAACCTTTTTAATCTCAAATATTTGTTAAATTTCTCATAAAATCGCTACACAAACACGACTTAAAACACTCAAAAGTAATTCCATTTGTTAATAATTACAAAAACCTCACCGAAAATCCTTCCTGCATCTTATCATCATCACAAATATCCCTCCTCGTAATATCCATTTAGTCTCGCACAAAAAAAAACTGTGTAAAACAAACAAAATTAAAATTCTTCTAAATGGCAACTTTGCCTTTGCTTTTTTCTAATTTAATTCCTCGCACTTCTGTTATATAAATATATATTGCATTACAAATTACACATTAGACATGAATGATATTAAAAAAATCCTATATAAATATTGTATCGGAGGAGAGGGGTTAAAAAATGAATGAAAATAAATTCAAACACAAAATGAGGTACATCGAATCCCTTGCATTATTAAAAATAGCATCATGTAATGAATGATACATGCAGGCATTCAGGCTTCCCTTGTGGAATAAGTGCGAACATATTTTTTTGTGTACTTTGAGGCAAAATGGAATTTTTGAATAATTTTTTTGGATGAAAATTACATCATAATGTGTGTTGTAGTTGAAATGGGAGTGAAAATGATGCTGAAAATGCAGAATGTGATGAGATGTGAGGGAGTGAAGGTGGCTTTTTGTAGGAGGAATTTAATGAAAATTTAGATGAGACAACATATGACATGAAAAGATGGAATTCTTGATGAAAAGTTTCATTTTTAAGGGACTATAGCTTTAAAAATTAATATTGTGCGTTATATTTGAAGGAACAATGTAGTGCTTATTAGAATATGGCGCACATAATCAATGAATTAAATTTTAAATAGCTTAGCACTCATAACATTAGATCATATTATGAAATCTCAAATGAAATTTGAACATAACCTCAAAAATCAGAAAAAAAATTTCAATCTCCAACTCAACTCCTTGAAAACGCCCCTAAAAACTCAAATTCCTCACTTGTGTCATTTCTGAGTTCTTCATTACTTAAAAGCAGTCTAAGAAGTTTGCAATGCGCCATATTTTGGTGAACACATTACTGTTTTCTCGGAATATGACGCACGGATCCATTTTTTTCTCCTAAGAAATTTTTTACTTTAACATCTGATTAACTATACTTTAAAGTTCAATATACCAAAAACATACTAACCTGAATGGTTCAAGTCGGTTAATCGATCAGTAATCTGGCACCTTGACTGTGTGACTCTGGAATAATCTTGGATTAATTATTCGTTTAAAAATTTGTTCTATTCAGGTAATGTCTCCTCCAAAATATAGCGCACAAAACTCATTTTAACAAAATTCAACTCAATGAAACACTCAAATCACTGTAAAATTATCAAAAACACCAAATCAAATCCACATAACTGATCAAAATCACATCTTACAGATAAATTACAGCCTTTAGGTGTCGCAAGCCATCAAATAATTTCCAAAAACCCACAAGCAAGAACACGACATCACAAAAAACTGTGTCATAATTTAATATTTTTATTTTTTATAACGACATTATGGCTTGATTGAGCTGTAAAGCACTCAATTTCTTCGCCCATTTATCTCAAAACTTTCATTTGGTTGTTTTGTCTTGAAACCCTTCATTAACCATGTGACACACATTTCACATGTCTTTTAATGTCTTTATGACCTCTCATAATCGTCCATAGTCACCTTCACTCTTTCCACATAATTTCTTTTACTTTTTCTTTTTCTTTTTAATTAATTAACTATGAATTAATAAAACATCAAGCTATAAACTATGTGAATGGAGACAATTATGTGCCATATGGCGATCATAGCACCGCTCATCATAATCTACAACAACAACAACATTGACCTTAAGCACTTGTCCGACTGTTGCCCACTTTTATTCTCATTTTCTTGTGACTCGCTTTGTTTCTTTATTTTATGAATTAAGTTTAAGATGTGGTTAAATTGTTTTTGTGGAATATGAGCAGGTTTGATCTAAGATTGTCTGAATTAAATTTTTAGGAACTTAAGTTGACAACTTTTAAGGTTAAGTTGACAAATTTTGAGGTTATGTTTACAAATTTTGAGGTTAAGTTGACAAATATTGAGGTTAAGTTGTCAAATTTTGAGGTTAAGTTGACCCATTTTGAGGTTAAGTTGACAAATTTTGAGGTTAAGTTGTCAAATTTTGAGGTTAAGTTGACAAATTTTGAGGTTAAGTTGTCAAATTTTGAGGTTATGTTTACAAATTTTGAGGTTAAGTTGACAAAAGTTGAGGTTAAGTTGTCAAATTTTGAGGTTAAGTTGACAAATATTGAGGTTGAGTTGACAAATATTGAGGTTAAGTTGTCTGAAATTTTGAGGTTAAATTGACAAATTTTGAGGTTTAGTTGACAAATTTTGAGGTTAAGTTGACAAATTTTGAGGTTAAGTTGTCAAATTTTGAGGTTAAGTTGACAAATGTTGAGGTTAAGTTGACAAATATTGAGGTTAAGTTGTCAAATTTTGAGGTTAAGTTGACCCATTTTGAGGTTAAGTTGACAAATTTTGAGGTTAAGTTGACAAATATTGAAGTTAAGTTTTCTGAAATTTTGAGGTTAAATTGACAAATTTTGAGGTTAAGTTGACAAATTTTGAGGTTAAGTTGACAAATTTTGAGGTTAAGTTGACAGATTTTGGGTTTAGGTTGGTCGAATTTTGAGGATAAGTTGTGAAATTTTGAGGTTAAGTTGACAACTTTGAGGTTAAGTTGCCAGATTTTCGGTTTGGGTTTGCCGAATTTTGAGGTTAAGTAGACAAATTTTAAGTTAACGTTGCACTAGTTTATGAATACAAAAAATAAACAATTTTCTCTTTTTCCATATTTTTATATTACCGATTGTGAAATGTTTAAAAATAAATTCATAGTTCCACACATGTGACCTATTACTATGCGCTAAATTGTTAACGTTATATCTCCATGTCTTCATCTTCTTCTCCATGACTTGACTATATGAATTGATGACCATTGTGTCACTAATTTTAAGAGAAAAAAACACATTAAGCAAGAATAAATTTAAAGTGTTGACTTTTTGGAGTCGTTCGCGCTGTCACAAATGGAGAGAAATTTAATTTACTTAATTAAATGTTTGCCTGCATCTCAATGATCTTCTTGGTTTCGGTTTAGCCTAATTCAGCTTCTGTATTCGAAATAAATCCTGTTTTTGTTGACATTTTGGTTCTAATCTGTCAACATTGATGACTTCTGGAAATATTTTTGCGAATTTCAGCATTTTCTTCTTCCTTTTTGCCTCGAAACATTTGATAATTTGACTTATAATCCAAACAAAGAGTTCAATCACAAAACAAGAAGCACAAACTGCACAGCATCCAAGCCAAATATTAAATCCAAAATTCAAATCTTTAATCTTCAAAACCGTTGCTTCCTTCACTTCAACTTCACCTGTTTTGGCGGGAAAACACTTTTTTATCAAATGATTCATAATCCCACCTGATGTCAATCGTTGAATAGTCTCGTCGACGATCCGAAAGAAAAAATTATTTGCTCTAAAAATGAATCCTGATTGTCCGACATATAAAGAATAATTTGGCAATTTATGCCATTTTATATTATATTTAAAGTGATCAAACATCTTAACTGCTAGTTCCTGAACAATTAATCCAATCCTTGTTGATGCATTTTGTGACTGTGTGCTGTAAAAGTCATTGTACTGATCATTGTTAACTGTGACAATTTGAGGCCTTAAAAATAAAAATAAATTCTTTACGCATGCTTATTAAATAAAGATTGAAGGAGTCGGTTCGTACGGCTACCTGGGGCAACTTCTACAATATCCTGGTTCTTCCTCCCCACCTAGGTTCCCTCGCCCCACCTAGGTTCCCCCTCCTCATCTAGGTTCCCCCGCCCCACCTAGGTTTCTCCAGGACAGTTTAGGGTAGGTTGTGGTAGGTTGTCTTGGGTTACTCTAGAGAGGGTTATTCTAGGATGAACCATGGTTATCCTAGGGTGACTTAGAGTTACTTAACGTGTTCTAAGGTTACCTAGGATGTCTCAGTGACATAGAGTACCCTCCCTATCTTATTCAGGATAGGTGGGACCCCCTAAGATTTCCTATCCTAGCTTCTCTAAAGTACTCTTTGGGTAACTTACCCATCCTACCTAACACTGCTCTAAAGGAACTAAGGTAGAGGACAGGGTAAGGTATCCTGGATTGACCAACCTCTCCGGGGTTTGGGGGGGGGGGATAGCCTAGAAACCGGCTCCAGATAGGAATTAAGGACCATTACCAATATTTCTTTTCATCATCGGTGATGTCATTGACACTTCTTATGTCCTCATCCCAATAAATGACAAAATTCTTTTCCCATAAATCCTTCATCGTTCTTGGTGGGTCTCGTCGAGGTTCACTTGTCATAAACTCAAACAGTTTACTTTGATAGCAGGTTCGAAAAATCAAGCAGTAAAATACATATAAAATTAATACAAATCGTGGAATGTGGCTGAATGGAAGTCGATATTGAGAGATTCCAAAGAATGTGCTGATTAGATTTAACATCGGAGTTTTGACATTTTCACCAAAAATCCTTTCTTGCATGAATTTTGAGAGTCGATGAATGATTAAAATTACAAAAGTGGAAATTAAAAATGTAATTATCAAAAGCGTCCATGTCGTGTCATCAAAAGGCAGCCAAAGTTTTTCATATGACGTGTACAGTTCGCCAGGAGTTGTAACGATGATTTCTTTCGATTCAATAAAACTTGTTGTCATGTGAAAATCCGTCTTTGAGAAAATCATTTGATGATAAACATCAAAAAATACATCAAAATCGGCAGTTTCACCCTTCATGATGAGAGCGTAGCTTGTAGTATAATTAGCTTTTTTTGAAATAGTTTCGAACAAATCGGGTTTAATGCCTTTGGCGTTCATGGTATTGTTCGACATTTCTGGCTCACCAAAGCATCTGTTTTTGACCAAATCAACGATTCCCATTCTCAAGTTACAACCGTGAAAATTCTGAGGTTAAAAAGAACATAGGTTAGGTATAGGTTAGGTATAGGTTAGGTATAGGTTAGGTATAGGTTAGGTATAGGTTAGGTATAGGTTAGGTATAGGTTAGGTATAGGCTAGGTATAGGTTAGGTATAGGTTAGGTATAGGTTAGGTATAGGTTAGGTATAGGTTAGGTATAGGTTAGGTATAGGTTAGGTATAGGTTAGGTATAGGTTAGGTATAGGTTAGGTATAGGTTAGGTATAGGTTAGGTATAGGTTAGGTATAGGTTAGGTATAGGTTAGGTATAGGTTAGGTATAGGTTAGGTATAGGTTAGGTATAGGTTAGGTATAGGTTAGGTATAGGTTAGGTATAGGTTAGGTATAGGTTAGGTATAGGTTAGGTATAGGTTAGGTATAGGTTAGGTATAGGTTAGGTATAGGTTAGGTATAGGTTAGGTATAGGTTAGGTATAGGTTAGGTATAGGTTAGGTATAGGTTAGGTATAGGTTAGGTATAGGTTAGGTATAGGTTAGGTATAGGTTAGGTATAGGTTAGGTCCTGAAAGAAGGAGATTGAACTTACCATAAACTTTTCATAGTTTTTCAATTCTTTTGTCCATTTTCTAGTTCTTTTGTCAAATGAATTCAGCACAACTAGTTGAGCTTCATTACATGCTACCTCAGTAAACCACTCGAGTGATGTCAAATAAATAAAATGATCATCATGAATAAGAAGACTTGTGAACACTTGAAGTGAACTTTCTGCATAGGTTAATCTTTTTGAATTTATTAAATAAACAAGATTGATTTGCAGCTCTTCTAATCCACAATTTTCGATATGAATTAAATATTTTAATACTTTTGGTGCCCAATTTCTTAATTGAAATGCTGAATGAAGCGATGCAAAATCGGAACAAGAATAAACGAAAAATAATGCCGACTGCGTAAGAATTGAAAATCCAAGGAATTTTTGATCAAAATGATAAAAATTATAAGAAAAATTCAATTGATTTTCCAATAAAACACTTTCAAGAAGTTGATATGAACTTTCAGAATTTTTTACAAACAAAATATCAAACGATATTTGACTTTTTAAATAAAATTCGTTAATAACTTGGTTAATTGCAATAGCAGTAGATCTTAATTCTTGATTTTTAACAATATAACTAAGATTTTTTGCACTATAAGCATACGAAAGTAATGAAATTAGGTAAATAACCTCAAATTTCATTTGACTTCTTTATTTGAATTCTTAAGAAAAGCTATTAAGGAGTTTCACTTTACGTGTAAATTTTTTTAATGGCAGTAGGCTCAACTGATGTAGAACTGATGTAGGCTCGACGAAGAACAACATGTACTTGAATACTTTTATCAGATATTTATCAAAAAGGAATGTTAACATAAATTTTATATATTTAAGGAAATACAATGTGATAAATTGATATTTTTGAGGTTAAATTGACAAGTTTTGAGGTTATATTGACAAATTTTGAGGTTAAGTTGACAAATTTTGAGGTTAAGTTGCCTGAAATTTTGAGGTTATGTTGACAAATTTTGAGGTTATGTTGACAAATTTTGAGGTTATGTTGACAAATTTTGAGGTTATATTGATAAATTTTGAGGTTAAGTTGCCTGAAATTTTGAGGTTATGTTGACAAATTTTTAGGTTAAGTTGACAATTTTTGAGGTTAATAATAAACTTTGTTAAAGTTAAGTTCTCAGCTAGCAAGGCAAAAGAGTTCGAACCTGCGCTGTTTAAGAAATATTGCTTATCAAGTTACAACCTCTCCCCATAGCGATTCCTCAATGTCCTTAAATTGCAATTCACTTCGAACTTCAATCTTGTTATTCAATAGTGTATCCCCAACATCCATATCTTCAATTGTTTCGACAGAAATACTAAATTCATCCTTAAAAAGATCCAAATCCTTAATTGACACTTCATTTTCCACCAACTTTGGCCTCTTCATCCGAAATGTATTGCAATTTTTTATCACATTTTGAAACCTAATTTCGTCACTCACCACATCGGGATATATTTTTTCAAACTTTATCTTTATCGGTTCCTTTTGTGTCCTATAATATCTCATAAACTTCCACACATTCCAAATAATAGATTCCGACAAAAAGCAAGCAACACAAAGTCCACAACATCCCATCCAAATAACAAATCCAAATTCCAAATTTTCAACTTTTAAAACAAATGCCGTCTTTGGCATAAGCTGACTTCTCATGAGTGGCAAGCACATGTCAACCATACGATTCATAATTCCACCTGATACAAGTCGTTCGACAGTTTCGTCAATAATTCGATAGAAAAAGTTGTTTGGCGCAAAACCAAATCCAGATTGACTGACGTAAATTGAATAATTTGGAAGTTTATGCCATTTTATGTTATGTCCGCCAACACTTATCATCGTCAAACCTAATTCCTGTGCAATTAATGCAATCTTTGCTGATGCATTTTTGGATTGCGTTAAGAACAATTCGGAGTACTGGATATGATCAACTGTGATGGTTTGAGGCCTGAAATGATATTGTAAAAATATTTTAGTTTAAGGGGGGGCAGGTAGGGTGTGGGAGGGGGCAGGACCCTCCAATATAATTTTACCAATATTTTTGTACATCCTCGTTGATGTCATCCAATTCATTGATTGCATTTACGCCATAAATTTTGAAGTCTTTATCCTTTAATTCCTTAATAGTTTGCGGTGGACTTCGTCTTGGCTCACTCGTTAAGAATTCAAATAATTTACTTTGATAGCACGTCCGGAAAATTAGACAAAAAAATATAAAAAATACAAGAATGAGTCGTGGAATGTGACTTGTTGGTAGTTTCAGTTGAGGAATTCCGAAGAATGTGCTAACAATATTGAGCGATGGAGTTTTGATGTCTTCGCCAAAAAATCGGGTTTGTGTCAATTTTGGGAGTCGATAAATTATTAAAATTGCTTGAAATGCAATGAAAAATGTTGAAATTAAAAATTTCCATGTTGCGTCATCGAAAGGAAGCCACAATTTTTCGTAGGATGTATAAAGCTCTCCAGGCGTTGTGATGATGATTTCTCGGTTCTCAACAAAGCTTGCACTCATATGAGTGCCTGAAAAAAAGAAGGTTCTCACACTACACACATCAAAATGCACATCAGAATCTTCTGCATTATTGAAAGTAACTTTGAAGTAGCTTGTTGTGTAATTAAATATGTTAGCGATCATCTCAAACAGGTGAGGCTTAACACCTCCATATAAAGTCTCTTTATTTCCTTTTTTTAACGAAACTCCAACAACTATTGCTGTCTGTAGAATTTTCCATACCCATTCTTAATTTGCAGCCGTGAAAATTCTATTTTTTAAATTTTCAAAAAATGTTAAAAATGTTAAAAAGGGCAAAAAATTTAAATTATTTCAAAAGGTTGTAAATAAATGTTAATAAAATAAAATATATTTTTATAAAATTTAAAAATTAATAAAAATGTTGAAAAATGTCAAAAAGATTTTAAAAATGTTCAATAAATGTTAAAAATTATTTAAGTGTTGAAAAGTATCTAAAATTGTTTTTAAAAATGTTCTGAATTTTTTTTAAAAAAATGTAAGAAATAGGAAAAAAATTTAAAAATGTCAAAAAAAATTAAAAATGTCAAAAAAATGTAAACAAATATCAAATCACCAATAAGTGAAGAAAAGTATTAAATAAATGTTAAAAAATATTTTAAAAAATAAAATAAATTCTAATAAATTTATAAAATTTTAAAGAATGTCAAAAAATGTTAAAAAGTTTTAAAAAATGTTTCAAAATTTTAAAAAAATGTTTTTCACTTTTGCTTATAAAATGTCAAATATTTTAAAAATGTTAAAAATCGTGAAAAATTTTAAAAGTCGTTATTCTTAAACTTTTTTTTCAAAAATCAAAGATTTTAAAGAAAATTGAAATAAAAACTCACCCGAAACTTTTCATAATTTTCCAATTCTTTTGTCCACGTTTGATTCCTTTTATCAAATGTATTTAAAACAACAAGCTGCGCTTCATTGCACACAGCCTCAGTGAACCACTCGATAGATGCCAAATAAATAAAATGTCCGTCATTAATGAGCAAAAATTTAAAAATCTTCATTCGTTTTTATAATGTAATTTAAATTATTTTTGAGATTTTCTATTTCACAATTTTCAATATAAATCAAAAAAATCATTTTTCTTGGTGCCGAATTTTTCAGACGGACTGCTGAATGTAATGCTGCATAAATTTTGCAAGACTGTAAAAAAATTATCGCCGATAGAGTCAAATAAATTTGATTTGGTAAATTTTCATCAAAATGACTAAGAGTGACCAGAAAATCGATATTATTTTGAGTTGAAACTGTTTCTAGGACTTGATAAGAGCTTGTCGAACTATCCAGAAATATAAAGTTAAATTTAATGTCCCATTTTGTGTAGAAATTGTAAATAACTTGATTCAATGCCTTCGCGACAGCTAAAATGTCTTGATTTTCAACAATTAACAATGCACAAAATGCGAATGAAATTAAAGTTAATTGAAATAAAATCATCACATTTTTGAATTTTTTCACTTAATTTCACTTCTAAATGAGTCGTTTGAATGAGACGAAAATTTAATTGAAAAATTGTCAAAGTAATTAAGTTCAAGCTATTAAATTGAGATAATCTAAGCAATTTTAAAGACTTGGTTAAATTTCCAAAGCAGTGGTTCACAACCTTTTTTATGCCACGGCACATCACGCACACAGCATGCGATTTTTTGGATTTATCGATTTTTTTCGCGGCACATTGGATTGCCATTACTGTTCTAAGAGATTGAATTGATGAGCTGGATGTGTCTGACTTCAAACCAAGGGGATAACAACATAATGGGAAATTTCTGACGACACTTAAATCACAAAATATTATTTGTCAGAAAGAAGGAGACCTTTTCAAATGTAGGGGCAATGTCAGCTGTTTAAGGAAGCTGATAAAGTGAAAAGGATTAAAGTGAACAGGCTCCGTTGGACTGAACATATTATAAGGAGACCTGTGGAAGCTCCATTAAATAAGGTCTTTTAATCTGACTTCGTAGGTGGCAGGAGATCACGCGATAGAGCTATTAATAGGCGTCAACTAAGGGAAGTCATGTATCACAATTGATCTGTACGACCAGCGGAGTAAGTAAGTAAAGAAGTAATATTATTTGAACGTTTAAGCTCAACTATGAGTCAAGGGGATAACAACATTATGGGTAAAATGTTTTGATATACAATTAGTTTGAGTTTCCCAATATGTTAAATTCCCCCTTGCCTAAAACTTCACTGGATGCACCTCAAAGTGCTTCTCAAACTATGAACTATAGTTCAAACCATTTTATGACTCAGTGGGTTCTCATGCTCCGGATCTGATGCAAAACTGTAAATCCAATCTTAAACACGACTTAGACACGAAAAAAGAAAAGAATAAACACATCTGATTATTGCCATACAAAACATGAAACATTTATTGAATTTTAATTATGTTCTAGAACATGTTGTATTAATTATCGATCTACTAAGGGTCCGTTCACTTCTTTCGTAGCGCTTTAAGGAGAGGAAGCAAACGCATAGCCAAGAGGATTTTGTCTCCCTGTGGCACACAGTTTTAGAACCACTGATCTGTTAAGGTTTAGATCTTCCACCTAGCACAAGCCTATGAACAAATTCTCCAAATACTTTTGATTCGTTGTCATTTATTTCCTCATTTATGCTGCATATTTCCTTTATCTTTGGCTTATTGATTCTAAATAAATATTGATCTTTAAGACAATTTTGATCAATTTGCTGTAAATCAATCATAAATGGACTAATTTTAGCGAACTTAACCTTTTTTGGTGTATTTTTGTTCCTTATATCCTTAAAAATATTATAAAAGATCCAATAAAAGGATTCAGCAACAAAACAAATGGCACAAGCAGCACAACATCCAATCCAAATGACGAATCCAAAGTCCAAGTTCTCAACTTTAAACACAGATGGTGTTTTGATCTCGATTCTATTTCGTTTTGATGGATAACATTTTTGTATCAATCGAGTCATAATTCCACCTGACACAAGCCATTGGACAGTCTCGTCAACAATACGAAAGAAATAGTTGTTTGTTCTAAATCCAAATCCACATTGACTGACCCAAATGCTATAATTTGGAATTTTTTGCCATTTTATGTTGCTTCCATAGCTGTTATGCATTTTAAGAGCAAACTCATCCATAATTATTGCAATTTTTGCTGATGCATTTCTCGATTGAGTCATGAAAATGTTATAATAATCTTCACCGCTTACGTTGTGAACTTGAGGCCTAGAAGATAAGGTTGGGAATTTTGAGAAAAAATCTGAGAACCAAGAACCAAAAACCAAAAACCAAGAACCAAAGAACCAAGAACCAAGAACCAAAGAACCATGGAACCAAGAACCATAAAAAAAGAACCAAGAACCAAGAACCGAGATCCAAGAACCAAAAACCAAAAACCAAAAACCAAGAACCAAGAACCATAAACCAAGAACCAAGAACCAAGAACCAAGAACCAAGAACCAAAAACCAACAAACAAAAATAAATTCAACTCACCACAAATTTTCGTCATTTTTAATCATGCTGCTTAAAATTTCAACATTTGAAGTCCAGTACATTGTGTAATTTTTATCATACAACTCCTGTACCGTTTTTGGTGGATCCCGCCTAGGTTCACTTGTTAAAAATTCAAAAAATTTACTTTGATAGCAAGTTCGAAAAATCAAGCACATAAAGACAAATAAAATGAGAATGAACCTTGGAATGTAACTTTTTGGGAGCTTAATCTGTGGAATTCCAAAAAATGTGCTGAAAACATTGAGCGACGGTGTTTTGACATTCTCACCAAAAACTCCAATTTGAATGATTATCGGAAGTTGATAAATAACAAAAGTTGCAGCAAAAGCTATTAAAAATGTTGAAATAAGAATCGTCCAAGTTGCATCATCAAAAGGAAGCCACAGCTTCTCGTAAGACGTATAAAGCTCTCCAGGTGTTGTAATGACGATCTTAGATATCTCAATAAAGCTTGTCGTCATGTGATATTTAAATGTTCCAATTGATCGAAAGTCATAAACATGAAAGTAAACATCAGCATCCTCAATTTCACCATTAATGTCAGTAATAGCGCTTGGAGTGAAATTTGCAATTTTTGAGATAATATAAAACACGTCTGGCTTAACACCTATGTACTCTGATTTATTCTGATCCTTGACTATCTTACCCCAACAAGGAGCAACAGTTGAATTGAAAGCTCCCATTCTTAAGTTACAGCCATGAAAATTCTGTTGGAGATTAAAATTAAAATTAATATTTCAATATTACAAAGCTATATTTTAAGACTAAGTTGATCTTAATATTCACTGGATCTTAGTTTATTGGTCTAAGTTGGTCTTGATGTTCACTGGATCTTAGTTTATTGGTTAAGTAGGTCTTGATGTTCACTAGATCTTCGTTTTTTGGACTAAGAAGAAGAAAAATCACTTACCTTAAATTTTTCATAATTTTTCATCGTTTCCGTCCATTTTTGAGTCTTTTTGTCAAATGTATTTATAATAACAAGCTGAACTTCATTGCATTTGACAGCTGTGAACCACTCGATTGATGCAAAATAAACAAAATGTCCATCATTAATGAGAATAAACTCGAAAACTTCAAGATAGCTGTCTCCAAAATCCAATTTATTAGTTTGTATCATAAAAGCCAAATTAGTTTGCAGCACTTTCAAGTCACAATTTTCGACATAAATCAGAAATCTTAGCAATTTTGGTGACCAAATTTTTAACTGAACTGACAAGTGGATGGACGCAAAATCTTCGCAGGAATAAATGAAAAAAATGTAAGATTATTGCAAATAAATAGTCAATCGTAAGAGCTGATCGAATTGATCCAAAGTAGCAGCAAAGTCGAGCTTATTTGTGATTAAAATATTTTCTAATAAGTCGTAAGAACTTTCAGAATTTTTGACAAATATAAAGTTAAACCTAATTTGACTTTCAGTGTAAAAGACTTGAATAATTTGACTGACTGCAGCTGCGGTGATTTTTGCATCTGAATTTTCAGCTATTGAGCTTAAAGCTTGTACACAATATGAAAGTAAAATTAAGCCAAAAATAAGCAAAAACATAAAATTCATTATTTTATTAATTATTAGACTTCCAAACATCACTTTACAGCTTGACCTGACATTTGGTTCTACTTAATACATTTGATTAGTTAAATAATTAATTCAGGGTTGGACAATTTGGATCTTAAACATGTCAATGCTATCAGCACGTCTATGAATTTCAGATCATTTGATATCAAATCATTTTATGTTTGTAGCTGTTGCCTAATTAAGGACACGCATGTATCCAATTGATCCAGAATGACGCTTACTTACTTTTCTAATCAGACGGATTAATTGTCATTCAGAGGCAACCTTAAGTTAATCTATCCTAGATGCTCAGTCTAGCTTTAGCTGGCTTCTGTTTGCCAATCACCAAGATAAGAGCAGTTATGTCCATTTCAACAGTTTCTTTTGAAGAGCTCCTATGAACGTGTGATAAAATGACAAATTAGTCCAGAAGCCGCTGTTACAGATGTGAACGAATAACCAAACTGCATATTCCTCGCAAAGATCTTTAAAATGAACTAAAAAGCAACATTTAGTAGCATCCAGCCAGTTAACCAACCTAAGTTAACCTTTAAACGCATTGTTGCCTACAGAAAATGAGTTAAAAATTAAAGGGCCTGCGCTATAGCTAATCAGTGTTAATTTTACATTAAATCAGGATTCACGTCATCTTTTGGATATAAAGCATCAGAATTAAATTCAAAATGGCGGATAAGAAATTCAAAATGGCGTTTAAAAACTATTAAGAGACTTGAATTTTTATTGCTTTGCTTGCAATACAAAATCAAACACAACTTACCAATGCTGCTTGTCATTTTAGATTGTTTAATTCAATTTAGATGAAAAAAAATTGGAGGTTAGGATGACAAATTTTGTGGTAAAATGCAAAAAATTTGAGGTTATGTTGGGACTTTTTTTGAGGTTAGGTTGACACATTTTGAGGTTGGAATGAAAAATTTGAGGTTAGGATGACAACTTTTGAAGTTATGATGACTAAATTTGAGGTTAGCATTACAAATTTTGAGATTAAGTTGACAAATTTTGAGGTTATGATGACTAAAGTTAAGGTTAAGTTGACACATTTTCAGGTTGGAATGACAAATTTCGAGGTTAGGTTGACACATTTTGTGGTTAAGTTGACACATTTTGAGGTTGGAAAGAAAAATTTTGAGGTAAGGACGACAACTTTTGAAGTTATGATGACTAAATTTGAGGTTAGGATGACAAACTTTGATATTAAGTTGACAACTTTTGAGGTTATGATGACTAAATTTGAGGTTAGGTATGCAAACTTTGAGGTTAAGTATTCTTCATGTGTGACTGAAATTTAAATTCGTCAATTTCATCCTCAATCTTTAATATTTCAACTTTTTTTCCAAAAATACAATATATATCATATTCAATATTAGAATCTGTCTGAAGTCCATCTGAATCTAAATTCAACTTCTGAATGCGAAAAATATTCAAGTTCTCAGAATTTTTTTGTTCCATCGATTGCATTGCAGTATTTACTGGACAAACCTTTGCAAATTTAACTTTTGTAGGACATTTTTGACTTTGCATTTGCTCTAATGTCCTCCAAAAAATCCAAATAAAAATTTCTCCTACAAAACAAGCAGCACAAACAGCACAACATCCAAGCCAAATAATAAATCCGAAATCTAAGTCCTCGATCGACAGCACAATTGCATCCTTTTTGGATTTAGATTTCACTTCAAATGGAAAACAGTTCTGAAGCAATTGAGCCATAATTCCACTTGGTATCAATTTTTGGACAGTCTCATCAAAAATATGAAAGAAGAAGTTGTTTGCATTAAACAAAAATCCAGATTGACCAACTGCTAAGTAATAATTGGGAATGGTTTGCCAATCAATTTTAAATCCAAACTTTTCACTTCCAATTTTTTTAAAATTTTTCCATGATGGCTCATCAATAATAAGTCCAATTTTAGCAGTTGCATTGTGTGATTGATAGATGAATATTTTATTATATACTGCATAACTAATTGGATATGTTTGAGGCCTGAAAGTGAGAAAGAAAAAAAATTAAGTCTAGGACTTCGCTTTCTGTGCCTTAAATTCTCACCAGTTCATCTTTTCATCCTCAATTAAATCTTCAATATCATTATAATCTTGGACAAAAAATATTCTAAAATCATTGTCTTTTAGTTCCTGTATTGTTTGTGGTGGACTTCGTCTTGGTGTGCTTGTCATAAACTCAAATAATTTACTTTGATAGCAAGTTCGGATGATTAAGCAAAAGAATACAAACATTATGAGAAGGAATCTAGGAATGTGATTAGTTGGAACCTTCAATTGTGGAATTCCAAAAAATGTTCCAACGATATTCAGCGACGGTGTTTTGATGTTACTTCCAAAAATGCCAATTTGTATGAAATTGTTGAGTCGATAAATAATGAAAATTGACGAAAATCCAATAAAAAATGTAAAAATTAAAAACATCCAAGTTGCATCATCAAAAGGCAGCCATAGCTTCTCATACGATGTGTAAGGCTCTCCAAGTGTTGTAACGACTATTTCTCGAGACTCAATAAATGATGTTGTCATATGCGTTAAAGTATTCAAAATTGATCGTTTGTTAAAAATGTTAAAAACTATATCAAAATTTGAGTCATTAAAATTATAGTCAGGAGAATAATTAGCTATTTTGGAGATGATTTCAAAGACATCAAATTTTAATCCAGCTGGTATCAAGCCATCTTGTGTTTTTTCAATTCGTTCCCAGCATGTTGTAGAATTTTCATATAAAAACATCTTTAAATGGCATCCGTAGAAATTCTAATTGAATAAATAATAAATAAACAATTAAATTGACATCTTTTTGAATAAGTAAAAAATTGTCGGCAGTTTAGAAGCCTTCAAGCTGATTTCAGTGTGCTTAGTCGAAACTTTCCAAGTTCATTGCAAAAACAATAATTTTTCCGTAGTTTTACACCCCTTGAAGTCGAAAATGTTGTTTGATAAATTCAAAGTTTCACACCCCTTGAAGTCGAAAATGTTGTTTGATAAATTTTCAATTTAAAGCTTAATTTAATGGCTTTCAATATTCTACCCATTATTCCCAAAGTTTCACACTCTTCGATATCAAAAACATAATTGCACACCCTTTGAAATCCAATATGTAGCTTCATGCCGTTCAAAATCCAAAACTTAATTTCGCACTCGACGATATTAAAATTATAGTTGCAAACCTTTCAAAATCCAAAACCCAGTTTTACACCCTTTGAAATTAAAAATGCAATTTCACACCCTTCGAAATCCGAAACGTGGTTTCACACCCTTTGAATCCAAAACGTAAAGTCCTCGAAATTTAAATCGTAGTTTCACAGCCTTCGAAATTAATACGTAGTTTTACACCCTTCGATATCAAACACATAGTTACACACATTTCAAAATCCGAAACGTAGTTTTACACCCTTTGAAATTAAAAACGTAGTTACACACCCTTCGGAATCGAGAACGTAGTTTTACACCCTTTGAATCCAAAACGTAAAATCCTCGAAATGCAAATCGTAGTTTCACAGCCTTCGAAATTAATACGTAGTTTTACACCCTTCGATATCAAACACATAGTTACACACATTTCAAAATCCAAAACGTAGTTTTACACTCTTAAAATTCAAATCTTACAGCCCTCGGAATTCAAATCGTGATTTCACAGCCTTTGAAATTAATACGTAGTTTTACACCCTTCGATATCAAACACATAGTTTTACACCCTTTAAAATCCAAAACTTAGTTTCACACCCTTCGAATCCAAAACGTAAAGTCCTCAAAATTCAAATCGTAGTTTCACAGCCTTCGAAATTAATACGTAGTTTTACACCCTTTGAAATCAAAAACGTAGTTTCACACCCCAAAAACTCAAACTCTCGTTAGTTTTTCGGAAAAAGCAAAAACATAGTTTATATTCCTTCGAGATCTAACAACCTCTACTCCTAAAATAACTGATAAGTTTCGAGACATTTACTCGTTTCAAGTTCGTGACAAAGAAAATTATTCTTAAGTACAATTACAAGTCGATTGGATCTTTCATGTAAGACTCCGTACGACAGTTGACATAAAGAGACATCACACAAGCTTAAAAAATCATAAATTTTTACCTGAAACTTTTCATAATTTTCCAAATCTTCTCTCCATTTCTGATTATTTTTATCAAAAGTATTCAGCACAACTAACTGAATCTGATTACAAGCAAGCTCAGTAAACCACTCGATTGATGCTAAATGAATCAAATTTTCATCATCAATCAATAAATATTCAAAAACTTCAATATATCCTCGGTCAGAATTCAACTCGTTTCTTTCAACTAGACGGTCGATGCTGTTTTCAAGCTCCTTAAGTGAACAGTTTTGGATGAAAACGAGAAATTTTAGCTCTTTTGGTGACAAGTTTGTCAATTCTACTGATGTATGTAGTGAAAATATGTCGTTGCATGAATAAAGGAAAAAAATTGCAGATTGCATAAAATATAAATAATTTGGCAGATTCTCATCATAGCTGCTTAATGCGTACGAAAAGTTTCCATTGCTTTGCTTCAAAATGCTGTCAATTAATTCAGTCAAATTATCAAAACTTTTAAAATAAACAATGTCAAATATGATTTGACGTTCTGTGAAGAATTCATCGATAACTTGATTGAATGCCTTTGCAGATACTTCAACATCCTGAAAGTCAATTGTGAAGTTTAAACTGGAGCCAAATGAAGCCAATGACAAAGTCAATAAAATGTCCAAATTCATTCACAAAATCACGTCCATAAGTTCAAGAATAATGTCTTCAAATGAAAGAAAATTGACCATAAATAAACTTGATTAGTTCTAATTGAACTGACACACAAAAATGAACATGTCGATCGTCTTAGTAAGATTAAGTCGGCAGCTGTTTAGTCAGAAATCCAATACTAAGGTGGCGTGATGAAGGAATCTTCATCGATTAACTGACATGTGCTGTATGTTGTTATCAAAGCGGAGTCAGGGTTTTTTTAAGGTTAATCCGTAATGGCAAACCTAAGTGCCGCGGCACAAAATTGTACAAAATCCACGAACCGTGTGTTGTGTGCGGTTTCAGTCAAGGCTTACCTCTAAAGTGTGCTGCGGCACAAAAAAGGTTGACCACCACTGCACTAGATGAGTGCTTAAGCTCTTTTTGAGACGACAACTGTAGCTAGCATCGATGTGAATTTAGACTTAGAGCTCAAACTTAACTCAAATATTCAATATTCTTACATTAGACTCGTGGAGCTGAAGTCAGAGCAGCTTTTTCAACGCAGATGTTATTGACATCTTGGGAAGATTGAACCTTAATATCTGACATTTTAACCATTTCTTTAGCCACATCTAATCCGTCAAGATTTAGTTCGTGATCAATTGGTTCGCCATCAATTGACTCTTTACACATTTCCTTTAACTTTGGCTTATTAATTCTAAATAAATATTGATCCTTAAGGCAACATTGATCAATTTGCTGTGCATTAGCAGTACCTGGACTGACTTTAGCAAACTTTAACTTATTTGTTGTACTTTTGTCCTTTAAATCCTTCAAAATATTACAAATCATCCAAAACAAAGATTCAGCAACAAAACAAGCAACACAAGCAGCACAACATCCAATCCAAATGACGAATCCAAAGTCTAAATCCTCAATCTTCAATACAGATGGTGCTTTTGCCTCGAATCTATTTCCTTTTAATGGATAGCATTGCTCAATCAGTCGATTTATGATTCCAGCTGATGTCAATCTTTGGACAGTCTCGTCAACAATCCGAAAGAAAAAGTTGTTTTGTAAAAATGCAAATCCAGATTGACTGACTGAAATGCAATAATTTGGAAGTTTGTGCCATTTGATGTTGTATCCATAATGTTCAAACATTTTATGAGTCAGTTCTTGAGCAATCATTGCGATTTTTGCTGATGCATTTTTTGATTGAGTCATGAACATTTTGTAGTTTTCTTCATCGGTGTGGAAGTGGATTTGAGGCCTGGAAGTTGAGGAATTAAACGTGATTTAGTATTTCAGTATTTCAAAATGGCGGATTGAAATTTCGGAAACTTATGATGATTACGAGAAAAATCTAGAATTTCAAAATGGTGGAACAGAAATTCAAAATGGTGGAACAGAAATTCAAAATGGTGGGTAAGAAATTTAAAAATAGTGTCACAGAAATTAAAATGGTGGATCAGAAATTCAAAATGGTGGACCAGAAATTCAAAATTGTGGATCAGAAATTCAAAATGGTGGATCAGAAATTCAAAATGGTGGACCAGAAATTCAAAATTGTGGATCAGAAATTCAAAATGGTGGGTAAGAAATTTATAAAATGGTGGATCAGAAATTCAAAATGGTGGACCAGAAATTCAAAATTGTAGATCAGAAATTAAATGGTGGATCAGAAATTCAAAATGGTGGACCAGAAATTCAATATGGTGGATGAGAAATCCAAAAACTTAAAATAGTGGTAAATAATTCTAAAAACTCAAAATGGTGGACCGAAAATTCAGAAATTCGATGTTCAAATTCTTTTCTTAAAGTTCAATGAAAAATCACAACTTACCAATGCTTCTCATCATTTTCGATTGTTTTGTTCAATTTTCCATCGTTGTCTTCAGTCCAGTAAACTTTGAAACCATTGTCAACTAAATCTTGTAAAGTTTGTGGTGCAATTCGTCTTGGTTCACTTGTTAAGAACTCAAATAATTTACTTTGATAGCATGTTCGAAAAATCAAGCACATAAAGACAAATAAAATGAGAATAAACCTTGGAATGTGACTTTTTGGGAGCTTAATCTGTGGAATTCCAAAAAATGTGCTGAAAACATTGAGCGACGGTGTTTTGACATTCTCACCAAAAACTCCAATTTGAATGATTATTGGAAGTTGATAAATAACGAAAGTTGCTGCAAAAGCTATTAAAAATGTTGAAATAAGAATCGTCCAAGTTGCATCATCAAAAGGAAGCCACAGCTTCTCATAAGACGTATAAAGCTCTCCAGGTGTTGTAATGACGATCTCTCGCAGCTCAATAAAGCTCGTTGTCATGTGAAGTTCAGATCCCAAATGTGTCCTCAAATCAAAAACGTGAAAAAACACTTCAGCATCATAAGGTTTAATATAGTTGCTCACAAAATAGTCTGGAGTAAAATTTGCGGTCTGTGACATTATCTCAAATAAGCCAGGCTTTACACCTCCGACAATGTAGGTTCCTTTTATCAATTTTGCTGTGCCCCAACAAAAATACTTGCCTGGATTTACAATCGCCATTTTCAGTTCGCAGCCATTAAAGTTCTGTTAATATATTTAAATTTAATTTAAGGGCAACTTTATAAGCATCTAAAGCAGTGGTGGTCAACCTTTTATAAACCACGGCACAACTTGATGGTAAGCCCTAACAAAAAAACAGTACGTGGCTTACGATTTGTGGGATTTTTCCTATTCTTTTGCTGCAAACGAGTGTGCTGCAGCACATGGGTTGACCATCACTGCTCTAAAGCAGTAGTTTTCAACCCATGTGCCGCGAAAAAATTGAGAAATCTCACGAACCGTATGGTACGGTTTTAGGCATGACTAGCCCGAATGTGTACCCTAGTACGAAAAAGGTTGTCCACCACTGCTCTAAAATTTTGTACCCTACCTTAAACTTTTCATGATTTTTCACCAATTCTGACCATTTTTGAGTCGTCTTATTAAATGAATTTAAAACAACAAGCTGAGCTTTATTGCATTCAACTTCCGTGAAGTACTCGATTGTTGCCAAATAAATGAAAGTTCCGTCATTAATCAAAATGTATTCAAAAACTTCAAGACGACTGTTCCCAAAATGAATCTTAATAGCTTTGATTAAATACATCAGGTGGTTCTTCAGAATGTCAAGTTCACAATTTTCGATGTAAATAATAAATTTTAAAGGTTTTTGTTCTTAATTTCTCAACTGAACTGACGAATGAAGCTCTGCAAGATCCCCACAAGAATTAACAAAAAATATTGACGATTGTGTCAACTTTAAAGCCTCAATTTCATCCAAATGCAAAATGCTTAAACAAAATGAAAAAGCACCTTTGGATTGTTTTAAAACTTTTTCAAGCAGCTCGTATGAACTTTGTAAGTTTTTCACAAAAAAAATGTCAAATTCAATTTGACTTTTCGTATAAAACTCGTGAATAACTTGAAGAACTGCTTCTGCTGTGGCTGTAATTTCTTGATTTTTAGCTATCAAATCCAACATTTGCACAGGCAATGAGAATGAAATTAAAGTTAAATAAATTACAATTTGTGATTTCATGATCAATTCTAGTCAAAAAAAGCTTTTAGGTGCTAAGCTGTCACTTTATAGTTTGAAATACTAAGCTCTGAATTTTTTTCTACGTCAAAAATCTGAGAAGTCAAACACAAATCAATAAATTATTCATATAAATGTCATTTGTATGTCTATCAGCATGACTTTCACAATTTCTAAATCATTTAAAGGCTCCGAATTTGTGCTTTTTTGGAAACTAAACATTTTTTGGTTAAATTGTAAAGGGTTTGACTCCCCCCCCCCCCTCCCCCTCTTAAAAATTCCAACTATTATGAAACAGCAACTGAACTTTCATTCCAAATCTCAGTGGAACTTTTCAATAAAAAATTGCAAAAATTCTTATATAACGGGTTTTTTGAGATTCAAAATTTAACGGTTTTTTGTGATTCAAAAACATTTAAAACCTACAAACCTTAGAAACAGCAGCTATCGATTTTAAAAAACTAGAAATCTCCAAGTGCTTCCAGTTCCGAGCACTCGTAGTAGCCAGCCAATCAGCCAACCAGTATTTCCTTGCATTTGCCATACTTGATTGACAACTATTCTAGTTAATAAATAATTTTATGTTAACCAAAAAAAAAATTCTTCATGTTGACATGAATTTTTATTCCACAGAAATGAATTATTTTAATTCAGATATCAACAATAATGTCAACATTTCATGACGATGCTTAATTAAGCTAGTGATACTATTTAATGAATGTTGCTATCCAATCTTCATTGACGCCATTCTTTACTGTCTTTTAAGCTTAATGAGGTTACAATTTGAATCAAATGAGACTTATTTTGACTAAGTTACTACTGCCATGGACTGTCCTGGACCGCTTTAAACCACCTTGGATCGTCATTGATGGAACTGAATATCCCTTCGCGAAACTGAATAAATCTAGAACACCATGAATCATCCTTTGCTGCTCTGAATCACTTCAATCCAGTGGAGGCCAACCTTGATAGTAAACCTTGAGTAAACCACGACCAAAACCGCACACGGCATACGGTTCATAGGATTTCTTGAATTTTTCACTGTACTTTAAGGTTTCGCGTCACATGAGTTGACCATCACTGCTTTAATCTACTGAAGACTGCAATAAAGCTTGCATAGCACTGAATTAAAAAGAAAAAGTCACCAATTAGCAGCAACTTGTTATCTCCGGGATGCAAATGCAGTTTCTCTGCTCATTGAACTCAATTTTTGCTATAAAAATCGATGAAAATGTTAAAAATTATTTCAAAATGATTTTAAATCTTGAATTGATAAGTTTAACATTTCTTCTGGTCATCTTGAGACCTACTTTTGGCTATAAATGTGAATTTGAGGACAGTGAATTTGTTGGTTACATTTGTGGGCTCAAGCCAGAGCTAAGCAACGATGGTGAACAGCATGTGCCTGGTAAAAGTGACGATGATGTCAAAAGAGTCGAGTTTAATGGATATTGGAACCAAATCACACCTCTTACACAGTCAGCAGTTCCGATTTGTGAAAGATTTAAAAATTTGGAGATAATCGACGTTCGAAAGATGAAAATTGATGGAAATTTCCTCAGAAAATGTGGAAATTTGAAGAAAATTTACATAATTGACTCTGAATTTTTTGGAGTTACTGAAAGTTTCCTAGCAGACAGTCCAAAGTTGAACACAATAATGATGCGAAGCAACAAAATGACAAATTTATCTGAGAACATTTTCATCAATCAGAAGCAGCTTGTGGAACTGAACCTTAATGGAAATCAAATCAGCTTTTTGCCGCCAAATATTTTTAAAACTTTGACCAGTCTTCGATCGCTTGATTTAAGCAACAACAAGCTTCAACTGCTAAATAAAAATTGGTTCAAAAATTTGTCAAACTTGAGAGTTTTGAGCGTTGTAAGCAATGGAATTGCCGACTTACCTAAAAGTATATTCAACAGCTTACCCAGCATAGAGCAAATCTACTTAGAAAGTAACAAATTAACAACAATTCATTCAGACTCATTCGGAACTAAGAGCAAATTGACAATCATTAATCTTTATGACAATAAAGTCAATGCTGTTGATGAAAGACTGATTGACAATACAGCTGTGGATGTGCTTAACATGAGTAACAATGTTTGCAGCAAGGACAACATTCAAGATCGAGTTGGAATGAAAGTGAAGCTGAAAAAGTGTTTTGATAATTATCGACCTAGAATGTAGACATAGAAGTCTTGATTGGTGAGTGTGACTAGTGGCTGGATTGGTATCTTGGGGGTGTTTGTAGAGGACTGGATGCTTACATTTGGAAATAATTTTTATTTGAGGCTTTAGTGCCCGATTTCAAGGGTTATCCAGAACATTCTAAAGCAGTGTGGTCCAATTTTTTTCAGCCACGACATCACCAAAGTCGGACTCAACATGCTGCTCGCGTCATTTACAAATAAAAGTTCCTACTGCGGCACACAGTTTGAGCAACACTGCTCTAAAAGTCGGACTCAACATGCTGCTCGCGTCATCTACAAATAAAAATTCCCCACAGTTTGGGCAACACTGCTCTAAAAGATGAATTAATTTTGATGTCCTACAAAATGCGATGAAAACAGAATTAATCTTAGACTAAGGTAGGGATCCACGAATAGCCCTAAAAACCAGACCAATGGCTTGTTGGGTATTAAAAAGAATAGTCCAGGTACATCCTTGGCTTAATTACTCATCAACCTCGAGATGATGACCAGATCTACCTCACAAAAAAAACTGAATTAATTCCAATAATTGCTTCATTTTGCTTTGATCATGCAGAAGCTCAATCTTCAGGCACTCTTCCTTAGCCTTACCACAAACCATCTTACTCCCAATAAAACATTTTAAATTATTTTCTGGCTTTTTATTATTTTATTATTTTTTAATTAAACATCCTCTACTCAATTCAAGTCCCACGCAGGGTTCAAAACAGCGCAACCTTAACATAGTTGACCATATGAACCTAACCTCGAAAGCACAAGTCGATTAATCGATCAGAAACCCAACAAGAAGCCGGCATAGCTTTAGGATGGAGCTTTAAAACTGGCTTTACTCTAAAGTAACACTGGCTTTGCGTCAGATTTCTGTGCTTTCCGGATTAAACGCTAAAATACGATTTTATGGTTGGATGTGAAGCTTAACTAAGCCCTGTCGTGACTGATAGTGTTCGAAACACTTCTTCATCCTCATTCTCATCAACTTAATGTCCAATCTGTCATTGATTCCCAAATTCTTAATACAAGATGCCTGATGCATGTCAAGAACCTCAAGTGCTGTATTGTCAATCAATTTTTCGTCAAATGCTTCAATTTTGTTCCACGAAAGATTAATAATCTTCAAATTTCTATTAATTCCGAATGAATCTGAATGAATTGTTGTCAATTGATTGTTTTCTAAATAAATTTGATGTAAATTTTCCAAAGAACTGAAAATATTTTTTGGCAGCTCCGTGATTTTGTTGCGACTTAAACTTAAAAGTTCTAAATTTCGGAGATTTTTAAACAATTCTGAATCTAAAACTTGAATGCTATTTTCACTAAGGAAGATGGACTTTACATTTACAGCTGGTTTAAAAATATTTTTTGGCAAAATTTGGATTTGATTGTTCGTCAATGTTATGTCAACAAGTTCCTGCTGATGTGCAAATAGATTTTCAGGCAAGGTTGGCCAATTGTTGTCTCTCAGCCTCAATGAAGTCAATTTTCTGTTGTCGGCTAGAAAATCTTCAGGAAGTTCCGAAATTTCCGATGATTTTGTGAATATTTCTCTCAAATTTCTGCAACCTTTCAGGAAGTTCGGCTCAATTTTGAGATACTTAACCTCAATTCTCTGTAAATTCTTAAATCTTTGGCAAATATTGACTGTTGACTTTTTCAGCGGTGACTTGTCATCCCAATTTCTAAAAGGCTCCAATTCAACTCTCTTTACATCATCATCAGTTTTGCCAGCTGCATGCTGCTCTAAGCCACTGCTGTCATTGGATTTTAATTCACAAAGGTAGCCAACATACTGATTGTCCTCGAACCTACAACTATAGCTATAAATAAGGTTCAAGTTTGTTGCTATGCACACTAAACTGAACAGTCTGAGTTTTAAATCCATTTTGGCATAATTGTTTTGTTTTGCATCAGTTTTTATAGGAATAATAATAATGGAGCAGTTTACAATATTCTGTGACAAGATGGAAATTCCAGCTCGTTTTAAATCAGAATAACAAGTTCTTGGGTTTTTTTTTATAAACATTTTATTCATAATTAGTAAAGTTTCATTTATAAATCAAGAAAAATATTAACAACATCGCGGATAGCACAGGTCAGTTAATCTGGCATGGGACTGGGCATGATTAAATCTATTAATCATTTTGTCCCCAAAATTCCCCCCCCCCCCCCCCTGGTTACGCACCTGGCAAAAGCGAAGCAAGGGGTTAAGGGACGGTTATAGCTTTCGAACCAGGTGCAACAAATTTTTACAAATGAGGGGGGTAAAAAAGTTTTGTATAGACTTAGCCGAACCTTACCAAAATAAAGAAATTTCAAAAAAATGGGTTTTTCCTAACTACCCCCACCCCCCTCCCCCCTTCTCCCTCGGCTAAGTGTCTGTTTGAATCAGGCTCTTCCTAAGAAAAATCCCAGATCATATATAATATAAGCGGTTAGAAAAATAAGCATAATTAGACGTGAAATTAATCAAATTGATATTTGCTTGTTGTACCAAAATAAAATGGAGGGAAAAATGGTGGAGGATTAAATGAAGGTGGATTATATGGAGGAGACGTACATCCAAACACAGATCCACAATTATCAACACGTGGCCGATAGCTGTCAAAACACTTTTTCAACCTTAATCTCACTATTGTCATATTAAATCCATCATATTCTTCATCATTATTCAAATTTGCAATGCATGGTGTCCCGTCCATGACAAGAAGCTCGAGTGATGTGTTGTCAATCAATTTTTCATCAAATCCTTCAATTTTATTCCAGGCAAGATTTAAAGTTTTTAATTTTCTGTTAATTCCAAATGAATCCGAGTGAATTGTTGTCAGTCGATTGTTGTGCAATGAAAGTTGAAGTAAATTGTTCATGGAAGTAAAGACATCACTTGGCAGATCCGAGATTTTGTTGTGGTTCAAACTTAAAAGTCTTAAATTTGGGAGACTTCTAAATTGCTCTGAATTTATATTGTAAATATCATTTTCGTCAAGGTAGATGTACTTGACATTTACAGCTGGTTTAAAAATATTATTTGGAATGACTACAATTTGATTTTTAATCAGGAGAATTTCGATAAGTTCCTGTTGATGTGCAAATAGATTTTCAGGTAAGATTCGAAAATTGTTGTTTCTCAGTCGCAGCCTAATCAGCTTTGTGTTGTCGGCTAGAAAATCTCCAGGAAGTTCCGTAATTCCAATATTACTTGCGATTAATTCTTTCAAATTTCTGCAGCCTTTCAGGAAGTCTGGCTTAACTTTAAGATTGCTAAACTCAATTTTATGCAGATTTTTGAATCTTTCACAAATGTTTACGTCCAACATTGACAGCGGTGGCGTGTCACTCCAAGCTCCATAGTGCCATAATTGAAATGTCGTCACATCGTCATCAGTTTTGCCTGGTACATGCTGCTCAACATCACTTCTGTCGTCTGGACTCAATATACAACTATAACCGAAAAATGAATTATCCACAAACTTACAACTATAACCATAAATAAGGTTAAAGTTTGCTGCGATGCACAATAAACTAAATAGTCTGACTTTTAAAGTCATTTTGATGTGATTGCTTTGCTTTGCATCAGTATTTATAGGAACAATCATAACGAGGACAATCATAACAATTTACAATATTCTACGTAAGATGGAAAAACCAGTTTGCATTAAATCAGATTAACAAGTACGAGGAAGGGTCATGTACTAACATCACTACTAGTCCCGAAAGGCACAGAGCGTAAAAATAGCTTTCAATCGGTCGTCCAGGTCGGCACTAACGTGGCACCTCGATAGACTTCACCAAGACTAATGAACGCCTTTCGGGAGTTTAAAAGACTACAAAGATAGCGATTAGAACTTCTGTGTCTTTTCTGGCTCTAAGGTCAATTCAAAAAAGTCGTCTAAAGAGTAATTGCACTGTTGAGCCATAAAATCCTGTTTTTTGAACAATGAATAAAGTCCACAACCTCCATTTCCTTTAAAACAGCATCAAAAACTCAAAGTATTCCCAAAGAATCTCCATAAACAAACCACAGATAGAAAGTTACGCATTAAAAATTCAAATCAACACAAAAAACAAGACAAACAATAAACAACAGAATGCCACTTAAGATCTTACAAATAAAATAAAGCAACAGAATAGAACAAAATGAGGCACTTGAAAGTTTATGAAAATACAACAAAATAAAAAATTGTAAAAGTGGCACTCAAGTGGACTTGTGTCATGCATGACAATGTGTAAAATAACATATAAAATTGGGAATTGAGGAAGAGATGACTTTGTGATGTTTATATTAAACAAGTGTTGATGTCTTTTCGGGGAATTATTGGGAGATGGAACAGATGAAGATAAAATAAAGGAGCAGTTAAGGGAAACAGTTGAATGACTTTTTGGGAAGTAAGTTGAAAATTTTCGGGATTTTTGAGGTTATGTCCAGAAAACAGTCGGTAAAGACTGTCAGAGACTGATAAAGACTGTCAGAGACTGACAGAGACTGACACAGACTGATAGTGACTGACTGAGACTGTCAGAGACTGATAAAGACTGACAGAGGCTGCTAGAGACTGACAGAGACTGACAGAGACTGACAGAGACTGACAGAGACTGCTAGAGACTGACAGAGACTGACAGAGACTGACAGAGCCTGACAGAGACTGTCAGAGACTGATAAAGACTGACAGAGACTGCTAGAGACTGACAGAGACTGACAGAGACTGACAGAGACTGACAGAGCCTGACAGAGACTGACAGAGACTGCTAGAGACTGACAGAGACTGACAGAGACTGACAGAGACTGACAGAGACTGCTAAAGACTGACAGAGACTGACAGAGACTGACAGAGACTGACACAGACTGCTAAAGACTGACAGAGACTGACAGAGCCTGCTAGAGACTGATAATGACTGATAGAGACTGACAGACCGACAGACGAACAGTCAGGAGATCCACAAACTCAATTTGCACTAAGAAACTCACCATCATGACTTTCAAAACACTCAAGTGGAATCAGATGGTAAACACTTTCATTCTTGTCAATTTCTCAATTTTCTTAGTTTCTGGCTTATTTTCGGCTTATTGATGATGTAAACATTTGGAAATTAAAATGATATTCTGAAGGGGAAACAGAGAATGACTTGAATTGTTTTTCAGAGAGGAAAAAAGTGAGGGAAAGTGAAGGTTCTGCACTTGTAAAGGGGCTGGTCGACATCCCTAAGAAGAGAAAAAAATCTCATGACGCAAATTTTAAGAAAAAATTCCAAAAGAAAACAAAAAACTTTCTTTTTTGGGGAACAATAACAAGGACAGGAGCAAATAACAGCATCAAATGGGAAGTGATACATGGAAATTGATTAAAGATGAGACGTAGAAAATGTCAATGTTGAAAATTAGATTTACTTCGACAAAAATAAATTGTGTGAGACTATTGATGAATTATTTATGAATTGTTTGTTGATTGCTTTTATGCTTTGTGCTGGATGGAGGGGATGTTTTGCGTATTATTTTGCATTGATGAGGGTGTTGTTGCGGATATGATAAGTCAAGAGCAACAAAAGACTCCAATTTTAGGTTAAAAATTTCATTTTGAGGTTAGAATCCAAATTTTGAGGTTAGAATTTAAACTTTAAGGTTATAATTCTAAAATTTTGAGGTTAAGATTCAAAATTATTGAGGTAAGAATCTAGAATTTTTGAGGTTAGAATTCAAAGTTTTGAGGTTAAACTTCGGACTTTTTGAGGTTAGAACCCAAATTTTTGAACTTAGGATTCTGAAATTTTTGAGGTTAAAAACCGAATATTGAGGTTAAAATCTAAAATTTTAGGCTAGAAATTAAACTTTGAAGTTAAAAACCAAATTTTAAGGTTAAATTTCAAGTTCATGAGGATAAAAACCAAACTTTGAGGTTAGATTAAAATTTTTGACGTTACAATCTCCATTCATCAACAAGCTATCATCACAATCCACAATTCTCACAAAAAGCACAAACCCAAGCTAATCACCTTCCATAAATTTTACATTTCAAACATCGAGACAAGATCTATGACTTCTCATCTTTAACCCTATCAATCCTCATCACCACAGAATTCACACACAAAAATCATCATCATCCACTCGTAAAAATCTATTTATTTTAAAAATTACTAATTTCATAAGAACAACAACAACAGCCAGTTGTCTAACGAGGAAGAACAAAAGAGGTAAATTATTATTAAAAATAGAAAGAAATGAAGGAATAAGGCAATGGTCAAGAGACGACGACGACTGGCTAGCATTGTAGAAAAATAAATATAAAATAAACAAAATAGAAAAAAGTCAAACAAAAAAATAATACAAAAAATTAATTTGTAAGTTAAATAAACAAATAAGCTGTAAGAATGAGTGAAGATGATGTATTGCAGGGGCGTAGCTAGACGATTTGTGTATAATGTGGTTTTGATGGGTGTTTGGTGAAGCTTTGAAGGGTCTGGGTTGGTTCATTGAGATCAGTTAAGATTCAATTAGGTCTTAGGCGGTTTCATTAGATTCGATATGGCTCAATGAAGTCTGGTTTGGTTCAATTAGGTCTGTTGTGGTTCAGTAAGACCCGGTATTTTTAAATTGGATCTGATGCGAATCAAAAGGTTCTAATTTGATGTAATTGGAGCTCATCGAAGTTTAAAAGAGTTCAATTAGGTCGAGTGTGACTCCACAAAGTCCAATGAAGTCTCTTATGTTCATTAAAGTCTTCCTGAGAATCCAAGCCTTTCTTTAATCATGCCTGACTACATACCTGATGAATTAAAGCCTCAAAAAAGTATGGTTCAACTTGAAAGTTCCAAAGTAAAACCAAATATTATTTATATTCATAATTTATTCATTCTCAGGTCCAACAAGACACAAAGAATCTTTCTTTTCTCATTTCCACTTCCTCTAATTGGCCACAGTCTCCAATATTTTTTCAATTGACGCTTTTTTTTGGCTTTCTTGTTTTCATAACTAAATAAAGTGAATGGAAATTTCAATTAAGAGAAAGAAAAAAAAAAAGATTTGAAAAAATAAATTAAGCATGTGGAACGAATTGAGTCGTAAAGATTTTCAATTGGATGTGACTATGTAATTGGACTTGAGATGGCTAATGGGATTGTTTATGAAAGGTGTAAGAAATTAGTTTTAAGATATTTAAGAATGACTTGTTTTAAAATAAGGTAGATTTTTTTTTCTTTTTGAATTTTTTGAAATTAATTAATTTTTTGAATGTTTTTGATCACATGAATTTTTAGATTTTTTGAAGTTTTTGATATTTTTTTATTTTTATTTGAAGTTTTTGGATTTTTTTTGTTTTTTGATTTTTTGATGTTTTTGGTTTTTTTTATATTTTTTATTTTTCTTTGATTTTTTGAAGTTTTTATATTTTTTTTAATTTTTTAGTTTTTGATTTTTTGAAGTTTTTGGAATTTTTTTTATTTTTTTTTGATTTCCTTGAAGTTTTATGAATGTTTTTTTGAATTTTTCTTTCGATCTTTTGAATTTTTGTATTTTTTGAAATTTTTGTATTTTTTTGAAATTTTTGTATTTTTTGAAATTTTTGTATTTTTTTGAAATTTTTGTATTTTTTTGAAATTTTTGTATTTTTTTAAATTTTTGTATTTTTTTGAAATTTTTGAATTTTTTTGAACTTTTGAATTTTTTGGTGATTTATGACACGACAATCATCTCAAGTCACCCGATGGATGTGGACGGAAATTACTCGACACAAAAAAGAAGGGAAGATTTGAATGCTCACTCGACTCGCATCTCTCAATTTATCATTTTTCATTCCTTTTATTCTCAAAAATTACTTCTTGCTGCTCGCCATTGACTACCGTCTACCGACTACCTCTATTGTTGATGCTGTTCATTGATAACAAAAAAAAAAATACAGAAAATAACAAAGAATTTCCTAACGTGATGTGAATTTTAAATGTGCAGCACGTAGGAATGATCTAAGAATTAAGAAATAATCATGTGGATGGAAATGGAATTGAAAAAAGACGAGAAGTGAATTGAAATGGAAGCGAAAGTGAATAAAGAAGCAGATGAAAAATTAAAGATTTTTTTGGAATTAACTGCGGCTATTGTGGACTGAATTGGTCATCTGGAAAAGAATTTAAAAGGAATCAAATTAATTTTGAATATTTTTTTAAAAAAATAAAATTTTTCTTGAGTAATTGCGCTATAATCAGCATACAGAGACCGACTATAAGCTGAATTGTCAACAATCCATCCTGAAACTAGTTACTAAGGCTAGCACCGGTCCCCCTAACCCTATATTATGGACAATTGGTCGTTAATGATTCACCAAATGTCAGATTTGCACCAAAAAATGTAACAATGACGGATGAGTTACAGCTCGACTTATCCGGCATTGCCAACAAAAAAAAAATTAAAATTCTTCAGAAATTCAGTAAAAAAGGAACTAAAGATTTTCTGATAAGAAAAGGATTTTTTTGACAATTTTAATGATTTTTGGTTGTCCTTTTTTCTATTACTTGATTCTTCTGTCTCTCATTTCTACGTGATTTCTTCATTCTCCAATTCTTCCAT